TCTTTAAAGTAGAGACACTACATACTGATATACACCTGAACATCAGCAGGAGAGGACTCTTTAAAGTAGAGACACTACATACTGATATACACCTGAACATCAGCAGGAGAGGACTCTTTAAAGTAGAGACACTACATACTGATATACACCTGAACATCAGCAGGAGAGGACTCTTTAAAGTAGAGACACTAAATACTGATATACACCTGAACATCAGCAGGAGAGGACTCTTTAAAGTAGAGACACTACATACTGATATACACCTGAACATCAGCAGGAGAGGACTCTTTAAAGTAGACACTACATACTGATATTCACCTGAACATCAGCAGGAGAGGACACTTTAAAGTACAGACACTACATACTGATATACACCTGAACATCAGCAGGAGAGGACTCTTTAAAGTAGAGTCACTACATACTGAGATACACCTGAACATCAGCAGGAGAGGACTCTTTAAAGTAGAGACACTACATACTGATATACACCTGAACATCAGCAGGAGAGGACTCTTTAAAGTACAGACACTACATACTGATATACACCTGAACATCAGCAGGAGAGGACTCTTTAAAGTAGAGACACTACATACTGATATACACCTGAACATCAGCAGGAGAGGACTCTTTAAAGTACAGACACTACATACTGATATACACCTGAACATCAGCAGGAGAGGACTCTTTAAAGTAGAGACACTACATAATGATATACACCTGAACATCAGCAGGAGAGGACTCTTTAAAGTAGAGACAATACATACTGATATACACCTGAACATCAGCAGGAGAGGACTCTTTAAAGTAGAGACACTACACACTCATATACACCTGAACATCAGCAGGAGAGGACTCTTTAAAGTAGAGACACTACATACTGATATACACCTGAACATCAGCAGGAGAGGACTCTTTAAAGTAGAGACACTACATACTGATATACACCTGAACATCAGCAGGAGAGGACTCTTTAAAGTAGAGACACTACATACTGATATACACCTGAACATCAGCAGGAGAGGACTCTTTAAAGTAGAGACACTACATACTGATATACACCTGAACATCAGCAGGAGAGGACTCTTTAAAGTAGAGACACTACTGATATACACCTGAACATCAGCAGGAGAGGACTCTTTAAAGTACAGACACTACATACTGATATACACCTGAACATCAGCAGGAGAGGACTCTTTAAAGTACAGACACTACATACTGATATACACCTGAACATCAGCAGGAGAGGACTCTTTAAAGTAGAGACACTACATACTGATATACACCTGAACATCAACAGGAGAGGACTCTTCAAAGTAGAGACACTACATACTGATATACACCTGAACATCAGCAGGAGAGGACTCTTTAAAGTAGAGACAATACATACTGATATACACCTGAACATCAGCAGGAGAGGACTCTTTAAAGTAGAGACACTACATACTGATATACACCTGAACATCAGCAGGAGAGGACTCTTTAAAGTAGAGACACTACATACTGATATACACCTGAACATCAGCAGGAGAGGACTCTTTAAAGTAGAGACACTACATACTGATATACACCTGAACATCAGCAGGAGAGGACTCTTTAAAGTAGAGACACTACATACTGATATACATCTGAACATCAGCAGGAGAGGCACTCTTAAAGTAGAGACAATACATACTGATATACACCTGAACATCAGCAGGAGAGGACTCTTTAAAGTAGAGACACTACATACTGATATACACCTGAACATCAGCAGGAGAGGACTCTTTAAAGTAGAGACACTACATACTGATATACACCTGAACATCAGCAGGAGAGGACTCTTTAAAGTAGAGACACTACATACTGATATACACCTGAACATCAGCAGGAGAGGACTCTTTAAAGTAGAGACACTACATACTGATATACATCTGAACATCAGCAGGAGAGCACTCTTTAAAGTAGAGACAATACATACTGATATACACCTGAACATCAGCAGGAGAGGACTCTTTAAAGTAGAGACACTACATACTGATATACACCTGAACATCAGCAGGAGAGGACTCTTTAAAGTAGAGACACTACATACTGATATACACCTGAACATCAGCAGGAGAGGACTCTTTAAAGTAGAGACACTACATACTGATATACACCTGAACATCAGCAGGAGAGGACTCTTTAAAGTAGAGACACTAACATACTGATATACACCTGAACATCAGCAGGAGAGGACTCTTTAAAGTAGAGACACTACATACTGATATACACCTGAACATCAGCAGGAGAGGACTCTTTAAAGTAGAGACACTACATACTGATATACACCTGAACATCAGCAGGAGAGGAACTCTTTAAAGTAGAGACACTACATACTGATATACACCTGAACATCAGCAGGAGAGGACTCTTTAAAGTAGAGACACTGCATACTGATATACCCTGAACATCAGCAGGAGAGGACTCTTTAAAGTAGAGACACTACATACTGATATACACCTGAACATCAGCAGGAGAGGACTCTTTAAAGTAGAGACACTACATACTGATATACACCTGAACATCAGCAGGAGAGCACTCTTTAAAGTAGAGACACTACATACTGATATACACCTGAACATCAGCAGGAGAGGACTCTTTAAAGTAGAGACACTACATACTGATATACACCTGAACATCAGCAGGAGAGCACTCTTTAAAGTAGAGAGACTACATACTGATATACACCTGAACATCAGCAGGAGAGGACTCTTTAAAGTAGAGACACTACACACTGATATACACCTGAACATCAGCAGGAGAGGACTCTTTAAAGTAGGGACACTACACACTGATATACACCTGAACATCAGCAGGAGAGGACTCTTTAAAGTAGAGACACTACATACTGATATACACCTGAACATCAGCAGGAGAGGACTCTTTAAAGTAGAGACACTACATACTGATATACACCTGATCATCAGCAGGAGAGGACTCTTTAAAGTAGAGACACTACATACTGATATACACCTGAACATCAGCAGGAGAGGACTCTTTAAAGTAGAGACACTACATACTGATATACACCTGAACATCAGCAGGAGAGGACTCTTTAAAGTAGAGACACTACATACTGATATACACCTGAACATCAGCAGGAGAGGACTCTTTAAAGTAGAGACACTACATACTGATATACACCTGAACATCAGCAGGAGAGGACTCTTTAAAGTAGAGACACTACATACTGATATACACCTGAACTTTAAAATGGCCACATTTATTATTCTTCTGTTTATTGTGCCTTCACTTCCTCTTTTCATTTGCCTAAGATGGCGATCAGGAAATGTTTCTGCATGGCGAGCATTTTAAAATATTCTCCCTCACTTCCTCTTCTCTGCTTCATCAACATTGGGGACTTTTTGTCTGTTGTTTTCTGTTGAATCAAACATCAGGTCAGCCCTCACATTTCCTCCTGTAGCTGAGGGGTTTTATAAAATGCTGAGTGGCCTTTCTCAAGCTGCATTTTCTCACATCGCTTCAATGACAAACTGCTGCTGGTGTCAGGAGAAGCATTCTGTGATTCTGCAGGACATCACCTCGTTAAGAGAGTGTTCTCAAGATGGGTCAATTCAATCCTACATTCAATGCAGTTAGTTGTGGTTTTGTATTTGTATTTTGTATTCATTTATAGAAGGACCATGCATACAAAAACATGAATCTCAGCCAAGAGCAGAGATGCCAGATTGTAGCTAATAGCTCATTAAATCTGTGCTCCTCAGACAGGTTCATAACAATCAATACACACATAATAGCATTGCATGATCTCTATCAGTCAAACCATTTCAAACCTGATTTAAGTAGCTCAATACATTAATACATAGTACACTTGAAGTACACTTACATGATCTCGGTCACTCAAATAATTACAAAGCCTGATTTAAATTCAGGTTACGAACATAACACTTAGTACACTTCAAATACACTTAAATAAAATATCTACGATATAGTATGACGATACAGTTCAACTTAAAAACACTCAGATTACAGTGTAATTCATGTTGGCATGACTGGTTGCTTAATATCATTCTTTGCACCATAGGAAAACGAGTTAAAGTCAGTTCAGGTTTTAAGTTCAGCTGGAAGAGTGTTCCAGTGCTTGATGGCCGTGAACCAAAATGTTGATGGTCCAAAGGCAGTGTGCCTCAGAGGGAGGTCAGATCTGCATTTGATGAAGATCTGGAGTTTCTGCAACTCTGCTCACGGTTATAGTTCAGAGTCCATTGATCTCCTGACAGTTGAAACCCAGATCCTCACATTGATCCTGAGTGTCAGAGGATCCTCCTGAAGATTCATCAAAGCCTCCGAGATGACCAGCTCCGACACTTCTGATCGTGACGGGGCTTAAATACGCTTTCTTTGGACGGATGAATGATGTCATGAAAGATGACAAAATAAACCCTTTGTCGTTGCGTCCAAACTGAACAGGTTGCCCCGTGAAACCTAAAGGGAATGTTAACTTGTTTTAGTCTAAAATGATACTTTCTGCAATCTTTTCTTAAACCTGACCAAGTAATGCTCCGTTACATGTTTGGATTGATTTGACTATGCTGCTGAAAGACGACACTAAAAGGTAGCAATTGCATCTAAAGAGTTGGGAGGCCGTTGTTTATATTTGTGACTTTGTTAAACTCCCGTTAACTTCCAGAAACTCACTACGCTCACTCACAGTATCTTATCCTCTCTCTCTCGTAAAGGGATAGGCTGATATCCTACTGTTCCTTTACAAGTTACAGCAAAACATCGACACAATTGTTACAGTAAACACGGCATCGGCTGAAAAATGTCAAATCGATGCATCACTTATCTTGAATATAATACATGTCTTCCTCCTCCTTCATCTCATCCTCTTCCTCCTCCTCTTCCTCCCCTTCAAGTGTGGACTATTTTACATAAACTGCCTTTTGAACAAAACGTACATTTGACTTTTTTGTGGACGTGATTATAATACATCCCCTCCTCCTCCTCTCCCTCAGGATGTGGAGGCCGCCCCCCTGATTCGCCCTGCGTCTCGCGCCTGGTGCTGCTGCATGTGTCTTGGTTTGGCCCTCATGCTGTCGGGGGTCGTTGTGGGCGGAGCCTATCTGTACCGCTACTACATCCTGGAGGTGAGACACCCATCCATAGCTGAGCTGGAAGACCAGGTAAATAGAGCGGTGCAGGGATGACGTATTTACCCTGAAGGAAGCTGCTGCTTCCCTCGACAACAAAGCAATGTGATTTTGGAAAATAGCTGGAAACATGGTCTGTGGGAAACGAAGCTGTTTGATAAATGCACGTTTTGTTCAGGATCATCTCCACATGTCTACTTTTATAATGTTCTAATCATAACTCTAATGGCCAGAAGCAACATGCTAACGTTATGCTATAAAGGAACTACAGCAGCACGACTTCAACGTCACGCCGACTTCAGATCCAGATTCAAACACACAGATTCTAGATGGAACGAGTTGAAGCGTTTGTTTGAACAGTCTGCAGGAGGCAGGGACTTGCTTTCAAGCAGAACAGAAACTAACTCAGAGGAGTGTTTACGTGTTCGGCGTAATGACGTACAACGGCCTCCACGACTTCTGTAGTCCTATTCAGCCACTTGGTAACAACCATAGTTTCTCAGACACGTCCACTCTTCAGAAATCACCAGTGCTGATGGTTTAATGTCCTAGAACAAAACCTGATCCGTCTCTTCAATGAGTCTCAACCACAGACCTTATTTCCAGCTATCTTCCTAAACCCTATGGAGAGATCCCATTGGCTCTGAGACCAGGGAACAGGAAGTGGAGACATGCTGACTCACTTCCGGGTTTTAGGACTCGTCCCTGCACCGCTCTATGGAAACGTATCGGTCGTCTATCTGCCAGCTCAGTGTTGTTGTAAAGTATGAAATGTTGAGAGCCCAAAGTGTTCTGATAGAAAGGTACAGTACGGGACGGCAGCGCATAGAAACTGCCGGATGCTAACCTGCATATGTTGGGAAATTAGCACATTAGCTTATGTGGACAATAGTTTATTTAGGAGTGTCTATGGGGGTTATTCAGCACAGTCTCAGGATAAACACATTGAGTCGTAACCAGCGAGTGGCTGTATTCGTACTCTGGGATCATTTGATTACTTTTGGGTCGATGTTTTAGTGGACTCTGGATCATTTGGATTTCACACAAATTGCCCACAGTAATAATACATATATTTATCTTGTGCTCTCTATGTCCAATGGTTGCAACACTAGAACAATCATTTGAAGGTTAACACCAGCCTGAGTTTAGTGCAATATGAAAATGATATTTCACAAAATAAAATCCTGCGGTTTTTGCTTGTCTTTATTTTGAAAACACTGCGAATGTCTCAATGAGTGGTTTCTCATCTGGTGTTTCTAACGTCTCTCCGCAGCATGGGCAGGTGTTTGTGTGCGGAATGAACTACCGTGAGGAAGACTACATGATGCAGGAGGAAGATGAGGTACGAAGAAGCTTTTATCACAACTCATTAGATAATCTCTGTTTCAGCCCTGTTCCAAAAGTGCTGATTCTGTGTCTGTAGCTTTAAATGCTAATGAGCTGCTGCTGGCCACGCCCCTCTGACAGGTGATTGGTTTAAAAAGAACTCAATGGTGCTCTAGGTCAGGAGGAGATTCAGGTGATAAGGGGGGGGGGGTACCTTGGTTGCTGATTGGCTAATGGTTACACAAGACAAAACATCGTTATGACATCAAGCGGCCAAAATGTGATCAGCTCATTTTCAGACAGGTTTTTATAGAAATGGATCAAAAAGAGAGAGAATCTTTGATCATCATAAATATATATATTTTCTTTTTGCATGAGCCAGGACTCCTGTGTGATTTGAAGTATCCTAAAACAATGAAACATAATAGCAACAATAGCCTTCCTAGAGTCCGGCAGTGGCTCAGTCCGTAGGGCTGTGAGCCGTCAGTCCCCGAACAGACCTGAGTGTGGACTGCTACTTGGAGAGGTCCCAGTTCACCTCCTGCCCCTGCCGTGGGGCCCTTGAGCAAGGCACCGGACACAAACAGGCATTAGAAAGCAAAGATAATAAAATAAACACACCAGGTGTAGAGTACATGAATAAAAGCCATACTGCAGTGTGGATAGGAACAGCTCACTCAAAAGCAGCAGCGACGAAAAGATAAGTTTTCAGTCTGGATTTTAAAAGTACTAAGAGCTACATGCCTACTAATAAACAGATCATATTTAAGTTTTTCCCGTTTGACCGGTACATTCTGGTTCAGACTTGTCTGTGAAGCTTCTTGTCCTCCAGCTGGAGAACAAAGGCTCTGAATAACCTCAGGGGTGATGTCTAACGTGTTGAGCTGGTTTCAGATGGAGCTGGATCTGCACCACAAGATGCCTCTGTGGCGCCTGGAGCAGAGGATCGAAGTCCTGGAGGCGGAGCAGGTGGCGCTGATCAGCGTTCCCGTGCCCGAGTTCGGATTAGGAGACCCGGCCGACATCGTGCACGACTTCCAGAGGGTGAGACTAATCCTCGAGAAAAACAAAACACGACTTCTTCACAAATACAGACTCGATTATCTCCGATAGAGACATGCTTTTAAAAGAGCGGGTCAGAGTTAAAGTACTTAAAGCAATACGAGTGAAACAGGGATTTTTATTTTCATGCTCTCTGGTTTGGTTCTATTCCTGTTTTGAGATAAAAATATAACCCTCTCTACGGAGCCCCTAGAGCAGGGGTGTCAAACTCAAGGCCAGCGACTTCACTTGATGCGGCTTGCAAAGAATATAATATGTTTATAGAAGCACGTTGCCCATAAACTACTTGTCCCACAATGCATCTCAAATTTGACTTTTCTTTTTAAATCATTTTGTGACATACTCACTGAAGAGACTTGCAATTATTTGCCCTAGACTTCTGCTTTCAGACGTAGTTACTTATGAAGTTATTACCCTATCCCATAACAATCCAATGCAGAGGCAATCATGAGATATAGTACATTATTTTATATATATGTATTTTGATATAGTCTTAAAGTTATAACCGGCCCTTTGAGTGCAACCATTATGCTGACGAGGCCCACGATGAAATAGAGTTTGACCCCCCTGCCTTAGGGGCTCCGTAGAGAGGTTTATTTCTACTCTTTTAATGTGTTGGTATGTGCCTTGTTTTGTTTTATACTGCAACAACAAGAATTCCCAAATTGGGATAAATACATTTGATTGTCTATGACTTAGTAAAACAGGATGTAGATCATTGGCATGATATACACATATTAATACATATTTATGTATATATTACATATATAGTGCAGGTCAAGATACTTTGAAATATAAAAAAATATATTTAAAAAAAGGTAGAAAATAAAATGTCCATAATAAAAAAGTATTTATACAAACAAGAAATCAAAGAAAGAATGTGAGATAAAAAGATACAATAAAATCAGATATTTACCTAAACACAAGAAGTTGGAAGTAAAACTGTACAAAAAACACCCGTAAATAAAAAAATAGACTAAAGTAGTTGTGGGGGAAACTTCTGAAGCAATTAGAGTCAGGACTCAGAGAGACACGAGGAGAGCTGGAGCTCTGATGGAGTCAGGACTCAGAGAGACACGAGGAGAGCTGGAGCTCTGATGGAGTCAGGACTCAGAGAGACACGAGGAGAGCTGGAGCTCTGATGAGTCAGGACTCAGAGAGACACGAGGAGAGCTGGAGCTCTGATGAGTCAGGACTCAGAGAGACACGAGGAAAGCTGGAGCTCTGATGGAGTCAGGACTCAGAGAGACACGAGGAGAGCTGGAGTTCTGATGGAGTCAGGACTCAGAGAGACACGAGGAGAGCTGGAAGCTCTGATGGAGTCAGGACTCAGAGAGACACGAGGAGAGCTGGAGCTCTGATGGAGTCAGGACTCAGAGAGACACGAGGAGAGCTGGAGCTTTGATGGAGGTCAGGACTCAGAGACACGAGGAGAGCTGGAGCTCTGATGGAGTCAGGACTCAGAGAGACACGAGGAGAGCTGGAGCTCTGATGGAGTCAGGACTCAGAGAGACACGGAGAGCTGGAGCTCTGATGGAGTCAGGACTCAGAGACACGAGGAGAGCTGGAGCTCTGATGGAGTCAGGACTCAGAGACACGAGGAGAGCTGGAGCTCTGATGGAGTCAGGACTCAGAGACACGAGGAGAGCTGGAGCTCTGATGGAGTCAGGACTCAGAGACACGAAGAGAGCTGGAGCTTTGATGGAGTCAGGACTCAGAGAGACACGAGGAGAGCTGGAGCTCTGATGGAGTCAGGACTCAGAGAGACACGAGGAGAGCTGGAGCTCTGATGGAGTCAGGACTCAGAGACACAAGGAGAGCTGGAGCTCTGATGGAGTCAGGACTCAGAGACACGAGGAGAGCTGGAGCTTTGATGGAGTCAGGACTCAGAGAGACACAAGGAGAGCTGGAGCTCTGATGGAGTCAGGACTCAGAGACACGAGGAGAGCTGGAGCTCTGATGGAGTCAGGACTCAGAGAGACGAGGAGAGCTGGAGCTCTGATGGAGTCAGGACTCAGAGACACGAGGAGAGCTGGAGCTCTGATGGAGTCAGGACTCAGAGGAGACACGAGGAGAGCTGGAGCTCTGATGGAGTCAGGACACAGAGGACACGAGGAGAGCTGGAGCTCTGATGGAGTCAGGACTCAGAGAGACACAAGGAGAGCTGGAGCTTTGATGGAGTCAGGACTCAGAGACACGAGGAGAGCTGGAGCTCTGATGGAGTCAGGACTCAGAGAGACACGAGGAGAGCTGGAGCTCTGATGGAGTCAGGACTCAGAGACACGAGGAGAGCTGGAGCTCTGATGGAGTCAGGACTCAGAGACACGAGGAGAGCTGGAGCTCTGATGGAGTCAGGACTCAGAGAGACACGAGGAGAGCTGGAGCTTTGATGGAGTCAGGACTCAGAGACACGAGGAGAGCTGGAGCTCTGATGGAGTCAGGACTCAGAGAGACACGAGGAGAGCTGGAGCTCTGATGGAGTCAGGACTCAGAGAGACACGAGGAGAGCTGGAGCTCTGATGGAGTCAGGACTCAGAGAGACACGAGGAGAGCTGGAGCTCTGATGGAGTCAGGACTCAGAGACACGAGGAGAGCTGGAGCTCTGATGGAGTCAGGACTCGGAGACACGAGGAGAGCTGGAGCTCTGATGGAGTCAGGACTCAGAGACACGAGGAGAGCTGGAGCTCTGATGGAGTCAGGACTCAGAGACACGAGGAGAGCTGGAGCTCTGATGGAGTCAGGACTCAGAGACACGAGGAGAGCTGGAGCTCTGATGGAGTCAGGACTCAGAGACACGAGGGGAGCTGGAGCTCTGATGGAGTCAGGACTCAGAGAGACACAAGGAGAGCTGGAGCTTTGATGGAGTCAGGACTCAGAGACACAAGGAGAGCTGGAGCTCTGATGGAGTCAGGACTCAGAGAGACACGAGGAGAGCTGGAGCTCTGATGGAGTCAGGACTCAGAGAGACACAAGGAGAGCTGGAGCTTTGATGGAGTCAGGACTCAGAGACACAAGGAGAGCTGGAGCTCTGATGGAGTCAGGACTCAGAGACACGAGGAGAGCTGGAGCTCTGATGGAGTCAGGACTCGGAGACACGAGGAGAGCTGGAGCTCTGATGGAGTCAGGACTCAGAGAGACACGAGGAGAGCTGGAGCTTTGATGGAGTCAGGACTCAGAGACACGAGGAGAGCTGGAGCTCTGATGGAGTCAGGACTCAGAGACACGAGGAGAGCTGGAGCTTTGATGGAGTCAGGACTCAGAGACACGAGGAGAGCTGGAGCTCTGATGGAGTCAGGACTCAGAGACACGAGGAGAGCTGGAGCTCTGATGGAGTCAGGACTCAGAGACACGAGGAGAGCTGGAGCTCTGATGGAGTCAGGACTCAGAGAGACACAAGGAGAGCTGGAGCTTTGATGGAGTCAGGACTCAGAGACACGAGGAGAGCTGGAGCTCTGATGGAGTCAGGACTCAGAGAGACACGAGGAGAGCTGGAGCTCTGATGGAGTCAGGACTCAGAGACACGAGGAGAGCTGGAGCTCTGATGGAGTCAGGACTCGGAGACACGAGGAGAGCTGGAGCTCTGATGGAGTCAGGACTCAGAGAGACACGAGGAGAGCTGGAGCTTTGATGGAGTCAGGACTCAGAGACACGAGGAGAGCTGGAGCTCTGATGGAGTCAGGACTCAGAGAGACACGAGGAGAGCTGGAGCTCTGATGGAGTCAGGACTCAGAGAGACACGAGGAGAGCTGGAGCTCTGATGGAGTCAGGACTCAGAGACACGAGGAGAGCTGGAGCTCTGATGGAGTCAGGACTCAGAGACACGAGGAGAGCTGGAGCTCTGATGGAGTCAGGACTCAGAGACACGAGGAGAGCTGGAGCTCTGATGGAGTCAGGACTCAGAGAGACGAGGAGAGCTGGAGCTCTGATGGAGTCAGGACTCAGAGAGACGAGGAGAGCTGGAGCTCTGATGGAGTCAGGACTCAGAGACACGAGGAGAGCTGGAGCTTTGATGGAGTCAGGACTCAGAGAGACGAGGAGAGCTGGAGCTTTGATGGAGTCAGGACTCAGAGAGACGAGGAGAGCTGGAGCTCTGATGGAGTCAGGACTCAGAGACACGAGGAGAGCTGGAGCTCTGACGGAGTCAGGACTCAGAGAGACGAGGAGAGCTGGAGCTTTGATGGAGTCAGGACTCAGAGAGACGAGGAGAGCTGGAGCTCTGATGGAGTCAGGACTCAGAGAGACGAGGAGAGCTGGAGCTTTGATGGAGTCAGGACTCAGAGAGACGAGGAGAGCTGGAGCTCTGATGGAGTCAGGACTCAGAGAGACACGAGGAGAGCTGGAGCTTTAATGGAGTCAGGACTCAGAGACACGAGGAGAGCTGGAGCTTTGATGGAGTCAGGACTCAGAGACACGAGGAGAGCTGGAGCTTTGATGGAGTCAGGACTCAGAGACACGAGGAGAGCTGGAGCTCTGATGGAGTCAGGACTCAGAGACACGAGGAGAGCTGGAGCTCTGATGGAGTCAGGACTCAGAGAGACACGAGGAGAGCTGGAGCTTTGATGGAGTCAGGACTCAGAGAGACGAGGAGAGCTGGAGCTCTGATGGAGTCAGGACTCAGAGACACGAGGAGAGCTGGAGCTCTGATGGAGTCAGGACTCAGAGACACGAGGAGAGCTGGAGCTCTGATGGAGTCAGGACTCAGAGAGACACGAGGAGAGCTGGAGCTCTGATGGAGTTAGGACTCAGAGAGACACGAGGAGAGCTGGAGCTTTGATGGAGTCAGGACTCAGAGAGACGAGGAGAGCTGGAGCTCTGATGGAGTCAGGACTCAGAGAGACGAGGAGAGCTGGAGCTCTGATGGAGTCAGGACTCAGAGAGACGAGGAGAGCTGGAGCTCTGATGGAGTCAGGACTCAGAGAGACACGAGGAGAGCTGGAGCTCTGATGGAGTCAGGACTCAGAGACACGAGGAGAGCTGGAGCTCTGATGGAGTCAGGACTCAGAGAGACACGAGGAGAGCTGGAGCTTTGATGGAGTCAGGACTCAGAGACACGAGGAGAGCTGGAGCTTTGATGTCAAACACTGACGGTTTATTTTGAGTTACGGCCGGAGAATTGACGAGACAGGTGGTGTGTCACGAGCTGACACAGCGGTCGCCAAACCAATTCTGAAGAACTCCTCTGTAGTTCCAGGTTTTAACTAGTTCGGAGTGTAATAATCAACATTCTTCATCAGTGAGACTAAAGCAATATGGACCCTGAATCTAACTAGAGCTCACTAACTAGGAAAGAATGTGCTCCAGGGAACCTGCGTCCCTGAACAGTAAACCACCTCATGTCAGCTTGTGCTCGGTCACAGACTGGCAACAACAATGCGCCCAAGCTGCATTAGAACTATGCCATGCGGAAAGAGACGGTAAAGGGAGAAAAGTATGAACTGTGTCGAAGGTTGAATACCTAAGCAAATTATAACAGACGTTTTTAGTTAAATCCTAAAGCATACCATGTCTCAACAATCAGCCCGGTTTATATTCTAACAAAAACAAGGTTCATGTGATCATTTTAAAAAGAAAAATACTGCATTTGAAATACTAATATTCTCTCTGTGTGTTTTGTGTGTCAGAGACTCACGGCCTACCTGGACCTGAGTCTGAACAAATGCTACGTGATCCCGCTGAACACCTCCGTCGTGATGCCGCCCCGAGACTTCCTGGAGCTGCTCATCAACGTTAAGGTGAAACACCTCAGAGAGATATTTAATCATTGATATGTGTCTCTGTGACATCATCAGGGGTCAAGCTTCATAATATTTTATCTTGATTGCGTACTGTGGCTCCCTTTCTTTCTCCAGAGGTACTTTCAGACGGATCCAGGCTAGCTGTTTCCATCAGTTTCCAGTCTTTATGCTAAGCTAGGCTAACAGTTTCCACCTGTTCCAACTCTTTATTTCAAGCTAGGCTAACATTTTCCGCCTGGTTCAGCACTTAATGCTAAGCTAGGCTAACAATTCCCGTCTGTTTTCATTCTTTATGCTAAGCTAGGCTAACAGTTGCCACCTGTTCCAACTCTTTATTTTAAGCTAACAATTTCCGCCTTGTTCAGCACTTTATTTTAAGCTAGGCTAACAGTTTCCGCCTGGTTCAGTACTTAATGCTAAGCTAGGCTAACAATTCCCGTCCGTTTTCATTCTTTATGCTAAGCTTGGCTAACAGTTTCCACCTGTTCCAACAGTTTACTTTAAGCTAGGCTAACAATGTCCACCTGTTTCAGCCCTTGTATGCTAAGCTAGGCTAACCATCCCATCTGTTTTCAGTCTTTGGCTAAACATTTCCACCTGTTTCCAGTCTTTATTCTAACCTAGGCTAACATCTTCCACCTGTTAACAGCCTTATGCTAAGCTAGGCTAACATCTTCCATCTGTTAACAGCCTTATGCTAAGCTAGGCTAACATCTTCCACCTGTTAACAGCCTTATGCTAAGCTAGGCTAACCATCAGTTTCCAGTCTTCACTCTAACCTAGGCTAACATCTTCCATCTGTTAACAGCCTTATGCTAAGCTAGGCTAACATCTTCCATCTGTTAACAGCCTTATGCTAAGCTAGGCAAACATTTTCCATCTGTTAACAGCCTTATGCTAAGCTAGGCTAACATCTTCCACCTGTTAACAGCCTTATGCTAAGCTAGGCTAACCATTCCCATCAGTTTTCAGTCTTCACTCTAACCTAGGCTAACATCTTCCACCTGTTAACAGCCTTATACTAAGCTAGGCTAACATTTTCCACCTGTTAACAGCCTTATGCTAAGCTAGGCTAACAACTTCCATCTGTTAACAGCCTTATGTTAAGCTAGGCTAACATCTTCCATCTGTTAACAGCCTTATGCTAAGCTAGGCTAACATCTTCCATCTGTTAACAGCCTTATGCTAAGCTAGGCTAACATCTTCCATCTGTTAACAGCCTTATGCTAAGCTAGGCTAACATCTTCCACCTGATAACAGCCTTTTTGCAAATAATGTAAAATAAAAAAACATGTATATTATATATATATATTTGTTCACGTATTAAAATGCTCCTCAGATCATGAGCGCAGCTCTGAGCGTGTTGTATTGATTCCTGTATTGGTGACGGTGTGTTTCAGGCGGGCACGTACCTGCCTCAGTCATACCTGATGCACGAGGAGATGGTGGTGACGGAGCGCCTGGAGGACGTGGAGCAGCTGGGACACTTCATCTACAACCTCTGCCGCGGGAAGGACACCTTCAAGCTGCAGCGCCGCGACCGCATCTACGGTAACTATCACAAGCCGCTCACATGTGTATTTTGTGTATTTGTACAAGTGTGTATTAATATGCAGTTTATGGGGCGTTAGTAGTTATTTGTAGTATACTGTTTTACGGGTATTTATACAGAAGTTTAGTGTGTATATGCAGTTTTTGGGGTATTTGTACACAGGTTTAGAGTAACTACCAGACGCCGCTCAGCAATAATAGCGCTTGCTAGCCGTATAGAGAGGACAGAGTACCCGTCGTGGCCTGTGGGACATATGTGGTAGAATAAAACCCCTCGGCTGGTGTTAACCACAGACCTTATGTCATCATAACAATCAGAAACCTACTCAGGTTGAAGAGAACCAAGAAGTGATTAAATGCTGAGTAATATCTGGGTTTTAGGGCTGATTTTTGCACCTCTCTCTTCATATACACAACCCAGCTTCCGGTTTTGAGCAAACTGTGTGCGCATCACTCACTCCCCAATGGTAATGTTTAGATGGATTTAGGACTTCCCCTCGATTCTATTGGCTCTAACGGTTAAAAAGAGATGTCAATCATCAAAATCGACCAATGGGTTCCAGAGAAATGGAAAATGACCTGCTAAATCTGTCTAAAAAGGTCAAATATCACTTGTTTTGCATCAATCTTGATACAGGGTACTTATTATATGTTGTAGTTTGGATTCCTAAAGCTTTTAGTAAGTAATGTAATGTTTTTTTTTGGACGGACACTATAATTTACAGTTTTTTACTGTGTTCAATCTGAATTTACTTTAAAATAAAAAATTCTATATTGATTCTGACTGTTCTACATCCAACTCACAGGTTTATCATTGCTTTGAGAACAAAGATTATTCATTTACCCCTTTTAGAAGTGAAGATATAGTCATTTGTTCTGGGAATAGGTGCTTTCACACCAAGTACTCAGAACTCTTTAGTCCCTGGAACTTTTCCTAGCAGATCGCGTTCACACCGGAATAAGTCCCTGAGGGGAGGATTAGGCAAATGAAGCCGCTGACGTCACTTCTTCTTCTTCTGCTTTGGGTTTACTGGCAGGCCGCAAACCACTTCACAGCGTATACTGCCACCCGGAGTCCCCGGCCGGGAGTCCCCGGCCGGAAGTCCCCGGAGTTGGGGAAGGCTTCAGTAGAAGCTGCTGGGAGTCCCAGCAGCTTCTACTGAAGCCTTCAGAGTAAATCACCAGAACGCCGACACCTCCTCATCTCCACCGCTCCCATGTTCTTTTTTGTGTTGCCATAAGTTAGTCTCTCTGCGCTGGGCTAATGCTAATAATGCTAATGCGAGGAAAATAAAATGGCGGCTTCACAAAACTTTTTGGGAGTTTTACGGGGCGTGGTTTGCAATCCGCCCAGCCAATCAGAAATAGGAACCTTTTTCTCCCACGAAAGTATGTGCTCTCTAGCAGGGACTGAAAAGGTTCTCATGAACTAAGCTCTAGATTTTTTTGGTGTGAACGCACATTTGCGGAACTATGTTGGAACTAAAGTGGGAAAGGTAGTCCGGTGTGAAAGCGCTTAATGTCATTTTCGAGCCTGAGACCTGGAAATCAGGCTTAACAGGTTAAAAGGTTCAGGTGGTAACAACTTTATATATAGATATATACGAAGAGAGAAGTGCAACAATCTGCTGGAGGAGCCTGGGACTTCAGGTGTTCAGTGCCATGTCTACATGTAGCTGCTGAGCACATGGTGATGGAGCCTGACTCCTCTAACACTCTGGAGCCTGGGACTTCAGGTGTTCAGTGCCATGTCTACCTGTAGCTGCTGAGCACATGGTGATGGAGCCTGACCCCTCTAACACTCTGGAGCCTGGGACTTCAGGTGTTCAGTGCCATGTCTACCTGTAGCTGTTGAGCACATGGTGATGGAGCCTGACCCCTCTAACACTTTGGAGCCTGGGACTTCAGGTGTTCAGTCCCATATCTACCTGTAGCTGCTGAGCACATGGTGATGGAGCCTGACTCCTCTAACACTCTGGAGCCTGGGACTTCAGGTGTTCAGTGCCATGTCTACCTGTAGCTGCTGAGCACATGGTGATGGAGCCTGACCCCTCTAACACTCTGGAGCCTGGGACTTCAGGTGTTCAGTGCCATGTCTACCTGTAGCTGTTGAGCACATGGTGATGGAGCCTGACCCCTCTAACACTCTGGAGCCTGGGACTTCAGGTGTTCAGTGCCATGTCTACCTGTAGCTGTTGAGCACATGGTGATGGAGCCTGACTCCTCTAACACTCTGGAGCCTGGGACTTCAGGTGTTCAGTGCCATGTCTACCTGTAGCTGCTGAGCACATGGTGATGGAGCCTGACCCCTCTAACACTTTGGAGCCTGGGACTTCAGGTGTTCAGTGCCATATCTACCTGTAGCTGTTGAGCACATGGTGATGGAGCCTGACCCCTCTAACACTCTGGAGCCTGGGACTTCAGGTGTTCAGTGCCATATCTACCTGTAGCTGTTGAGCACATGGTGATGGAGCCTGACCCCTCTAACACTCTGGAGCCTGGGACTTCAGGTGTTCAGTGCCATATCTACCTGTAGCTGTTGAGCACATGGTGATGGAGCCTGACCCCTCTAACACTCTGGAGCCTGGGACTTCAGGTGTTCAGTGCCATATCTACCTGTAGCTGTTGAGCACATGGTGATGGAGCCTGACCCCTCTAACACTCTGGAGCCTGGGACTTCAGGTGTTCAGTGCCATATCTACCTGTAGCTGTTGAGCACATGGTGATGGAGCCTGACCCCTCTAACACTCTGGAGCCTGGGACTTCAGGTGTTCAGTGCCATGTCTACCTGTAGCTGTTGAGCACATGGTGATGGAGCCTGACCCCTCTAACACTCTGGAGCCTGGGACTTCAGGTGTTCAGTGCCATGTCTTCCTGTAGCTGCTGAGCACATGGTGATGGAGCCTGACCCCTCTAACACTCTGGAGCCTGGGACTTCAGGTGTTCAGTGCCATATCTACCTGTAGCTGCTGAGCACATGGTGATGGAGCCTGACCCCTCTAACACTCTGGAGCCTGGGACTTCAGGTGTTCAGTGCCATGTCTACCTGTAGCTGCTGAGCACATGGTGATGGAGTCAGACCCCTCTAACACTCTGGAGCCTGGGACTTCAGGTGTTCAGTGCCATATCTACCTGTAGCTGCTGAGCACATGGTGATGGAGTCAGACCCCTCTAACACGCTGTTCTGTTTTATTTCCTCAGGTATGCAGAAGCGCGAGGCTCTGGACTGCCACAAGATCCGTCACTTTGAGAGCCGCGTTGTCGTGGAGACGCTGATCTGCGAGGCTTGAGTGGTGTTTCTAACCCTTTCTACTTCCCCTTCTTTACTTCAGGTAGTTTGTGTGTGAGAGAGAGAGCAGTGCGATGCCAAGCTGTCTGCTAGATATCCATTGATTGTGATCAAATAAAATAAAAGGTGTGTTTTTTTCCACTCTTCTGTACGGGGAATCTTTTCATAAAATAATCAAAAGAATCTGCTAAATTATTGTAATCAAACTGCGATTGTAGCGTGTGTTTAAATGGGGTGATATTGTTTGAGACGCTTCCTGTCTTCTGGAGACTCTGCAGCTGCTCCTCAGACCAGAGAGCGCTCCTCTTGGTTTAGACAGCACAGCTTCCACGTCTTTCTCACGGTCGCTTTCTCTTTGTGTCGTTCTGGAGAACTCTTCTGTACTCATCGTGTATATAATCTCTTTAAAGATATGAACAGAGCAACACAATAAACAAGGAGAACTGACTTTGTGCTGTCGTCTGGTTTCATTTCAGTGTCAGGATGCAGTTCTGGGGGTAGTTAAACCTGTCTGCCTTTTTTCCCCTACCCCCCCCCCCCCCCCTCCCCTACCCGACTTGTAAAGCGACCTTGGGTTTCCTGAAAGGCGCTATAAAAATATTATATATTATTATTATTATTATTATTAGTTGTACACAGGTTTAGCGTGTATTAGTACACAGGTTTAGCGTGTATTAGTATGCAGTTTTTCGGGTATTTGTACAAAGGATTTAGAGTGTATTAGTATGCAGTCTTTGGGGTATTTGTACACAGGTTTAGTGTGTATTAGTACACAAGTTTAGCGTGTATTAGTATGCAGTTTTTCGGGTATTTGTACAAAGGTTTTTAGAGTGTATTAGTATGCAGTCTTTGGGGTATTTGTACACAGGTTTAGTGTGTATTAGTACACAGGTTTAGCGTGTATTAGTATGCAGTTTTTCGGGTATTTGTACAAAGGTTTTAGAGTGTATTAGTATGCAGTCTTTGGGGTATTTGTACAAAGGTTTAGAGTGTATTAGTATGCAGTCTTTCTGGTATTTGTACAAAGGTTTTAGAGTGTATTAGTATGCAGTCTTTGGGGTATTTGTACAAAGGTTTAGAGTGTATTAGTATGCAGTCTTTCTGGTATTTGTACAAAGGTTTTAGAGTGTATTAGTATGCAGTCTTTCTGGTATTTGTACGCAGTTTTACTATGCCGTTTATAGGGTATTTGTACACAGGTTTAGCGTGTATTACTATGCAGTTTCTGGGGTGTTAGTAGTTCTTTGTAGTATGCAGTTTTGGGGGTATGTGTACTTATTTTTAGTATGCTGTTTTTGGGGTATTTATACGCAGTTTTAGTATGCTGTTTTGGGTGTATTTATACACAAGTTTAGTGCGTATTAGTATGCAGTTTTTGGGGTATTAGTACACAGGTTTAGCGTGTATTAGTATGCAATTTTTCGGGTATTTATACACAAGTTTAGTTTGTATATGAGTTAGGTTTTTGGGGTATTCAAACAAAGGTTTTAGAGTGTATTACTATGCAGTCTTTGGGGTATTTGAACAAAGGTTTTAGAATGCAGTCTTTCTGGTATTTGTACGCAGTTTTACTATGCCGTTTATAGGGTATTTGTACACAGGTTTAGCGTGTATCAGTATGCAGTATTAAGGGTTATTTGTACACAGCGCGTGTAATAGTATGCAATTCTTTGGGTATTTGTAAGCAGTTTTTTGGTTATATGTAAATAAGTTTAGTGTGTATTACTATGCAGTTTTGGGGATATTTGTACACAAGTTTAGTGTGTATTAGTACGCAGTTCAGTTTAGTGTGTATAAGTATAGTTGGATCAGCTTCTTGTCATCATTAAGGATATTACTGTTGTCTTGTGTAATAGTACACAGTGTTGTGTCACCTGATCCGGTGTGAACTGGTTCCTGATTAAAGCTGCTGGACAGAGAGGATCATGGGAGATGAGGCAGGTGTGGAGTCACCTTCACGCTTCAGAGGGTTTGTGGCTGAAGTCCAATAGTCCATTTCTCTTAGGACCCTTCCTAACGGAGTGAAATGACCCGGAAGTCCCTCAGTGGCAGCCATGATAAGTGCCGTTCCAATTCTCTAGATGAAAGGAAAGGAGGTTTCAAACTTCCTTTATAACCTCCTTTAGCTTAGGAACCACTGGACCTCCCTAACCGAAAGGAGAGGAGAAAGTGCTGCCCCACAATGCATTGCAGCCGCAGCATTTGCCATCACTCAACAGTCGGCCGTTCACGGAAACAACCGATTATGACGGAGAAATGATATCATGAAAGTTACGGTGCTTATTAAGCATTTTAAAACGTATGTGGTAAGTTGCCAAAGTGCTTTGTTCTGAACGTTCATCAGTGTTATAATCAAAGAGAGAAATATGAACGTTAGTTTTTACTGAAATGATCAAATAAAGTCAACATCTCAGTCTTTACTGAGCTGTGGGGTTTGTTCAACTTTTAAAAGATGTTTGAATGGTGATAAGCTGTTGAAGGAAGTTTTTCCATTAATTAGCACTTATTTATTAAATATTATGAATATGTCTTTATTATCAGGCTATGTTCCACAATCATTCAAAGTAGCAGTGATAAAACCGCTTCTTAAAAAGCACAACCTCGATCCAGAGGTTTTAGCCAATTATAGACCTATTTCCAATCTTCCGTTCCTCTCAAAAATTCTTGAGAAAGCGGTCGCAAAACAGTTGTGTGATTACTTAAAAAACAATGATTTATTTGAAGATTTTCAGTCTGGCTTTAGAACACATCATAGCACAGAGACAGCTCTGGTTAAAGTCACAAATGACATTCTAATAGCCTCTGACAAGGGACGTGTCTCTATTCTTGTTTTGCTCGATCTCAGTGCTGCATTTGATACTATCGACCATGATATCTTATTGCAAAGACTAGAGCACTTAGTTGGCATACAGGGAACTGCTTTAGACTGGTTTAGGTCCTATCTATCTGAACGCTCTCAGTTTGTACGTGTCAATGATGAATCTTCCACGCAAACCAAAGTTAGCCATGGAGTGCCGCAGGGCTCAGTGCTCGGACCTATTTTGTTCACATTATATATGCTTCCGTTAGGCAATATTATAAGGAATCATTCTGTAAACTTTCATTGTTATGCGGATGATACTCAACTATATTTATCAATCAAGCCTGATGAAATTAATCATCTAAATACAATTCAAGACTGCCTTAAGGACTTAAAAACGTGGATGACCTTAAACTTTTTGATGTTAAACACGACCAAAACTGAAGTTATTGTACTTGGCCCGAAGAATCTACGAAACAAATTATCTAAGGATATATTAACCATGGATGGCATTAATTTGGCCTCCAGTGAGACTGTAAGGAATCTTGGTGTTATATTTGATCAGGATTTATCCTTTAACGCCCACATAAAATCAATTTCAAGGACCGCCTACTTCCATCTACGTAACATTGCAAAAATCAGGCATATCTTGCCTCAAAACGATGCAGAGAAACTAGTCCATGCATTTGTTACTTCAAGGCTGGATTATTGTAACTCTTTATTATCAGGGTGTACCAAGAAGTCAGTCAAGTCGCTTCAGCTGATTCAAAATGCTGCAGCTCGTGTACTAACCAGAGTTAGGAAAAGGGACCACATTACTCCTGTTCTGGCTGCCTTACACTGGCTCCCTATAGAACACAGGATAGAATTTAAAATTCTTCTTCTCGCCTACAAAGCCCTTAATGGGCAGGCGCCATCTTACCTTAAAGAACTCATTATACCCTACTGTCCTACTAGGGCATTGCGTTCCAAGAATGCAGGGTTGTTGGTTGTTCCTAGAGTCTCTAAAAGTACAATGGGAGCCAGAGCCTTTTCTTATCAAGCTCCACATTTGTGGAATCAGCTTCCAGTTTGTGTTCGGGCGGCAGACACCCTATCCGTTTTTAAGAGTGCGCTTAAGACCTTCCTTTTTGATAAAGCTTATAGTTAGGGCTGATTAGATTCAGCCCCTAGTTTTGCTGATATAGGCTTAGTTTGTCGGGGGGACATCTTACTTCTTCCTTCTCTCTGTCTATACCTGTGTACTCTCATGTTCCGATTAACCCAGCTTCCCCAAATGTCTTTCTTTTGGTGTCTGTATACGCCGGGATCCGGAGTCATGGATGATCCTGCGCTCCTCTGTCCTGGATCTTGAGTCGTGGCTGTGGTCCTGGATCATAGGTCCTGGATGGATATCCTCGTGGATTCATCTTCCTATTATACACACATGCATTTCTAAACATTTGGACTACCTATGTTGCAAATGTATTATCTTTTCAATTTACACACGGCATCTATTGCACGTCTGTCCGTCCTGGGAGAGGGATCCCTCCTCTGTTGCTCTCCCTGAGGTTTCTCCCATTTTTCCCTTTAAACTGTGGGTTTTCTTCGGAAGTTTTTCCTTGTACGATGTGAGGGTCTAAGGACAGAGGGTGTCGTATTGTCATACTGATATTTTGTACAAACTGTAAAGTCCACTGAGACAAATGTAACATTTGTGATATTGGGCTATATAAATAAACATTGATTGATTGATTGATTGATTGATATAAACGGAGACCCTCTGTCTCAGTGGAGGTTTTTAAGGGGCAGCTAAAGACTCACCTTTTCCGACAGGCCTTTGGGGCGCCGGAGGAGGTGAGTTTGTAGCTGTTTTTCATTGGTGTTTTATCCTATGTTTTACCTGCTGTGTTTTATGCCTTTTATTCTACATGTTATAGTTGTACTATGGATTGTGTATTGTGTACTGTATCCAGGGCTTCTCAAACTCCGGATCCGGACCGAACTTCAAATCAATCCGGACCGAACCCTGTGTCCCATTATAAAAAAAAAAATAAAAATAAAAAAGGGAAAACAAATTATGATTCTGATGTAAATTAAAGTGGACCTATTATGCTATATTGGATAATAATATATATAATAATATATATATATATATATATATACTAATATACTGTGAAGCACTTTGTACATTCGTGTTGAGAAGGGTGCTATATCAATAAAGTTTTACTTACTTTATTAAATTATTACTAATGTGTGCTTTCTTCTGGTTATTTAATAAGTTGGGTTCTTTATTAATGCACTTGGTTATTTAATAAGTTGGGTTCTTTATTAATGCACTTGGTTATTTAATAAGTTGGGTTCTTTATTAATGCACTTGCTTATTTAATAAGTTGGGTTCTTTATTCATGCACTTGGTTATTTAATAAGTTGGGTTCTTTATTAATGCACTTGCTTATTTAATAAGTTGGGTTCTTTATTAATGCACTTGGTTATTTAATAAGTTGGGTTCTTTATTAATGCACTTGGTTATTTAATAAGTTGGGTTCTTTATTAATGCACTTGGTTATTTAATAAGTTGGGTTCTTTATTAATGCACTTGCTTATTTAATAAGTTGGGTTCTTTATTAATGCACTTGGTTATTTAATAAGTTGGGTTCTTTATTAAT